GTGTGTGTGTGTGTGTGTGTGTGTGTGTGTGTGTGTGTGTGTGTGTGTTAATGCGTAAGTCACATTTTCCCCACTGGCACTGATGTTTTCAGAGCTGAGTAAAGAAACCTGCCATCCAACTGTGAAATCTGACTGGGTCTGAACCAATTCATTTAGAAGCTACAAAGAGACAGTGCATGTATTTCTTCAAGTTAGAACTTAAGCCTGTTAAAAGTTTTATTATCTTTTATATCCAGCTTCCATCTGAATGGATAAATGCAGGGTTTCAGATGCATCATGAAAGATAAGTTCATAATTCAAACTGTACATTGTTATGCATGAGTTAATATGTCATACTCTGAAATATATGTTCAGAGTTATTACAGAGGATTTCCAAATGGAGTCCCAAGTAGTGAGTTAAAATCAAGTATTTGACTACACAGTGTACCTTCCACAATTACAAAGGCATTAAGATTGCCTGATACTGTAACCCAGTAGTTCTCAACACTCCTAATACTGCGACCCTTTAATACAGTTACTCGTGCTGTGGTGACACCCGACCATACGATTATCTTTGCTGCTATTTCATTACTGTGATTTTGCTACTGTTATGAATTATAATGTAAACACCTGATATGCGGGATATCTGATATGTGATCCCCATATGGGTCACACCCCACAGGTTGAAAACCACGGTTCCAACCCAAAATGTGTCAGTCACACACTCTGAGCAACCCCAAAGAGAGTAGTTCTAATGGGGCATCAAGGCAGAGGGCCCAGCACATAAGAATGGCAGCGTAGGTTCAGCTATATCTTTTGATGAGCTGCCTCTCCCCCTAACAGTACACTTTAGGCAGGGGGTAGCAACTTCAGTCTCTTATTTCCAAATCTATATTAACGTGAAGTGTTCAAGTATATACACTAACCACATGTATGGAGAAATGTGAAAGCTTTTCCTTAGCACTCTAATCATAGCACGCAATTACCTTGCTGTCCTTCATCCCAGCTAAATGTTGGATGGCTCCAGATATCCCAACAGCAATATAAAGTTCCTGAAACAAGAGACCACATTACTAATATGCATTTATATTATATAGCACTTTTGAGGCAGTCTTGGGTATCTCAGGCTGTCTCAAACTCACTATCTAGCTGCGGGAGGACCTTGAAATTCTGATCCTCGTGCCTCTGCTTCCCAAGTGCTGGTATTATAGGCATCCAACATAACTTCGTTTATGGACTGCTGGAATTGAGTCTTTGTTCACTATGGCTCTGTGCATACTAGGTTAGCACTCTACCATCTATGTGCTACATCTCTGGCCCTATATAACACTTTACAAAATGTATACTACTAGCAATGCAAGATACGTAAATTGAATTACTCAACACGTACCACGTTAAAAAAAATTTTGTTTTTATCATTTATTACAATTTATTCAATTTGTATCCTGGCTGTGTCCCCCTCCCTCATCTCCTCCCAATCCCACCCTCCCTCTCTTTTCCCCCACTATTCCCCTCCCCTTGTCCACTGATAGGTAAGGTCTTCCTCCCCTTCTATTTGATCCTAGCCTATCAGGTCTCATCAGGACTGGTTGCATTGTCTTCCTCTGTGGCCTGGCAAGGTTGCACCCCCCAGGGGGAGGTGATCAGAGAGCCTGCCACTGATTCATGCCAGATAAAGCTCCTGCTCCCCTTATTAGGGAACCCACTTGGAGACTGAGTCCATGGGCTACATCTGAGCCGAGGTTTTAGGTCCTCTTCATGCATTGTCCTTGGTTGGGTATCAGTCTCTGCAGGGACCCCAGGGCTCAGGGTTTTGTTTTTGTTTTTTTAATGGCTCTGTTGGTCTTCTTTTGGAGCTCTTGTCCTCTCCAGGTCTACTATCTCCCCCTTCTTTCATTAGATTCTCTGCACTCTGCCCAAAGTTTGGCTGTGAGTCTCAGCATCTGCTTCAATACCTCGATCAGTAGAGTCTTTCAGAGGCCGTCTGTGGTAGGCTGCTGTCCTGTTCTTTGTCTTCTCCTGCTTCCAATGTCTATCACATTTGTCCTTCTGAATGAAGGATAGAGCATCTTCCCTAGGGTCTTCCTCGTTGTTTAGCTTCTTTAGGAGTATAGATTTTAGTATGTTTATACTATATTATATGGCTAATATCCACTTATGAGTGAGTATATACTATGTGTGTCTTTCTGCTTCTGGGTTACCTCACTTGAGATGATCTTTTCTAGTTCCCACCATTTGTCTGCAAATTTCATGATTTCCTTGTTTTTAACAGCTGAGTAGTATTCCATTGTGTAAATGTACCACAATTTCTGGATCCATTCCTCCATTGAGGGACATCTGGGTTGTTTCCAGATTCTGGCTATTACAAACAGAGTTGCCACGAACATGGTTGAGCAAATGTCCTTGTTGTATAGATGAGCAAATTTTGGATATATGCCTAGGAGTGGTATAGCTGGATCTTGAGGAAGCGCTATTCCTAATTTTCTGAGAAAGTGCCAGATTGATTTTTAAAGCGGTTGTGCAAGTTTACATTCCCACCAGCAATGGAGGAGGGTTCCCCTTTCTCTACATCCTTTCCAGCATGTGTTGTCACTTGAGTTTTTGATCTTAGCCATTCTGATGAATGTAAGGTGAAATCTCAGGGTTGTTTTGATTTTCATTTCCCTGATGACTAAGGACACTGAACATTTAACACGTACCACTTAAATCATGCTTTTCTTCTCCAATTTTTGTACCACAGTTCTCTTTTTCTAGTGAGTTCCCAAAGTAGTGGTGGTATAAAAATAACATACATACACATCCTGAGCATTTAAAATGCACCAAACACTACTCAGCTCTCACAGCAACCATCCCAGTTTCATGCTGGCACCTATGGCACTCACTTGGGTATCATAGTGAAACTCACATATGTTTTATCTATCCACTTACAGCAAGCACACATTGTATATTAACATATAAACACATACTTAAAGGTATTAAAATAGATTGTTTTGCTTGTTTGCCTTCTTACAAAATGATATTTGCAAAAATGATAAGGACATACTCATTAAACTTCCTATTTATAAAGGCTAGAAATGCAAATTACTGTCAAGAGGTTCTAAGTACGCTATTTGCAGACAGATGCATGGATAGGTATACATACACATGAATTAACTTATTGAAAGACTGGATGAGGCTTTCCAGACCCCAACACAAAGGCCCCCACTTGGGAGTTTCTGAGTGATGATGGTATCTACATCTATTTCTAACCCTTTATCCCCAATAATTACAAGAAATCACAGTCAACTACTGTTCTATCCCCTTATCTTAATATTTTTTAAAAGTATCAATGTTTGAAAAATTAAAACTAGCATCATGGAAGAGTGATTCAACAAGCGCTTAATTACAAGAGCTTGCTGCTCCACTTTGTCTACTAAGTATAATTACAACGTCAACTGAGAACCTTTCCCACCCATAAACTGGCATGCCCTGGCTTGGGTGGGAGGGGCACTGACCAAGTAACCAGAATGTCACCGCTTTCAGGTGAGTAACGTGGAGCAGCACTGGAGTGGTTCTGCACGCTTGCTTCCATGACAAGGCAAACACTTCAAAGCTACTGGCAGGGTCAGGTGCTCTCACCTTGTTTTTTCTAATGCTTGTGATCTAATCTTAACAACTTCTCACTATATCGAGAGTATTCATCTAGGATATATATGGTCCTTCAGTGTTATATTTCATAAAACGTAGGTGTGTTTATGAACATGCATAAGTCCCTTTCCCTCCTGGGGGTCTCAGTCTACTGGTGCTTTTCCGGGAGTACCCAGGGCACTCAAGAGTAACCAGAACTGAATACCATAAGCACAGAGATCCTTCAGCTTTCATGCAGCCCCTCTAGCATGTTGGTAGCATAACCACGAGCCTTCTCTCTAAGAGCATAAAGTGTCCACCTGCTTCCACAACAGCATAGTGTCTCTATGTAACCTGAAAGCAGCCTTGTCTCCACAGGGAGTCACTCAGGTTAAAAGGAGCCGAGCATGCTTTCTGAGTCAGCTATACTAGTCTTTCCCCACGTTATTCTTATAAAGAGACCATTTCTATCAGTTGTAAAAAAAAAAAAAAAAAAAAAAAAAAAATGTAGTGTTAATGTGACTCGGGAGGTGACAGTAAAAGCAATTCTCCTTAAAAGATTTTGTGTCGTGGATGAACGGTCTGCTATAGAAAGGGAAGGTGAACAGCGTCACAAGTTCTGTCCCGAATAAACCAGCACTTGCATGACTGGATTGCTGCATGTGACCACACCCAGCTGATGTAATTATTCAGACAGAAAGTGTCTCACTAGTCACTCTTTCTGATTACTCTTCTATGTAGATTCTCAAAGCAAGTATTAGAAAAGATCAATAGTCCTATAAATGACTCCTTTTGACATATAAAGTAAAATTCAATGTCTTAAAAGCTCCATTTGTAGCATGAAATGCTAATAAAAATGTTAGTTCACTCTGGCAGTAAGTAAATAGAAGCATAATCTAAGTAAGTCTACTTTGAACTTCTGCCTCTGTCGAGTGAATCCCATTGCTTTTTACCATAAATGTATCAAGGAGACAAAAGAATCTTAGCCAAGGCCAACCCATGGCAGTTGCTTCAGGATATGACTTTTCTATGACCAACATCAACAGCCTAATGGATCCACCAGAACAATGGAACTTCATTTTGTTGTCTTGAAACCAGGTTCTCTCAGTAAAAATAAAAGCACTGAAATATGTGTCAGAAGGAATTGGGGCTTTGGGCTGCTGTGCTGAGGCCTATGGCTCTCAGGAAGGAAGAGAAGCTTTCTTCTTCTTTAAAAAAAAAAAATGTTTAGGCAATTAAACTAATATCCTAGGATGCTTCCTCAAGCTTCAGAAAGCTTTTTTTCTGTATTTCAGTAGCAATAATAATTAGTATGTACAGAACTCTACAAATGCTAATTTATGGAGCGCTTCAGATACTGCTTCACAGCACAAGGCAATCCCTGCCCTGAGGCACTTTCCTTCTAAATGAGTAAAATAACTGGGAGAGAAAATGAGAGAAGATTTTGGAGGGGAGAACAGCAATTAAGGGTTCAAAAAGAGGTGGGATTAGAGACAGAAACAGATACTGGGAGAAGGAGGAGGCATCTGAAACTAATCCTAGGGGCTTTAGTAAATGTAGGAAGAGAAGAAAAAGAGACAGGCAGAGGAGAAGGAAAGAATTAGGGAGAGGAGGAAGAGAAGAGGGAGGGCAGATAGAAGGAACACAAACAGGAATACAAAAAACAGAGCCACCACAGAGCTGGTAGCAGGATAGGTTGGTTACTCTGTTAGGAAATAACTATGGTAAGTAGCTATGGGATAGAAGGACCAAAGTGATGTGGGAGAGAATGGCACCACTAAGCCTGATCCAAAGAAAGCTCTACTTCTTTTACCTTTCACAAATGCTAAACAAAAAACAAATACCCTACACCTACAGACCCATCCAAAGAACCCAGAGACTGAAGTCTCACAACAGATTGTGAGCCAAACACCAAGTCTCAGATGCTGCTTCAGACTTGCACAGAAGAGACGGGAGTCAATAACTCAGGCTCTGGAGACTGTTCGGATCCTAATCAATTATTTAACTTCTCTATGACCCTGCCACTTGCTCATCTTAAAACTAGGATCATAACAATTCCTACTTCTTAGGATTAATGTTGAGGTTTCAGTCTTTAGCACAGTATCTGGTTTTCTAAGACACAATGGTGCACCATCTCTTAAAAGTCTGAAATCTGTTCAAACCTTAATTCTCTAATTTCACTTGGGTGAGCAACTGAAGGTGGCCTCAGGACTACTGTGTACGGTTAAACAGGTTGCACACTGAGCTACTCTGGAGAAAGGCACCATTTATGGAAGTCAGTAACAATCTACACTTTTATTACAATAACTTTCCAACAGATGGCAGCACAGGAACTTGAGAAAAGGATACTTTATAATTCAAAGGATTGAATGATGTGAGACAGTCAAAATCCCCTGTGATACAAATAATAAAATTATAGGTGTACCAGAACAGGAAAAAGTTCAAT